ACCACTGGAGCCCACCAGACCATTACCAACTCTTCCTGTCCGAAGAATTCATTCCACTTCAGAAAGGAAGCATGAGAGACAACCAAGACCCCCTAGACCTCCTTTAGGTGATAGGCCGTCTGTGCCAGGCATGAAGCCCAACATATGTGATGGCAATTTTAATACTGTGGCTCTCTTTAGAGGAGAAATGTTTGTTTTCAAGGTACTAAGAACTGTATATTAACAATGGTGTTTTCTTCCTTCCAGTTTACATCCTGAAGAAGACTAATGTGTGTAAACAACTAGATGTTATCAGTTATTTTACCATTTACATATCAATAGAAAACGTGTAGCTGTCATATAATCAATGGATTTGCCTAGGAAGGGGCTCACATTCCCCGGTCCTGTGACAGGGGCTGCTGCTTCCATCAAGGGCCCTGCCCCCTCCCACTGCAGTGGCTGGGTTGGGGTGCAGCCAGATGCTGGCTGGCAGGGGCCCCTGGGAGAGGGCAGGGATGGGGTTATACAGAGGGAACAGGAGGGCAATGGCGACACAGGTGCATGTGCACCCCCTGAGTGTGGCAGTGCACCCTCTGTGAAAAGTATCAGTGTCAACACAGCGGGTGCTGCCACCTGGGACCAGACAGTGTCGGCTGGACCTATTGGTGACACAGCCAGCAGCATCTGCAGGCAGTCGCCCACCCCTGGTTGGCACTTGCCCCCCCTCCCCTCCACTGATAGCACCAGCAGTGTCTGCAGAAGTTCCCTGCTTACTGCTGCCATGCTCCCGCTGCCACCCCCATGCTCCTGCCTCCACCAGCACTGCCGTGCCCCACCAGCCACTGGGAGCACAGGTCGTTCATGCATGCAGGGCCTTATTCCACCGCTTGATGATAGTGGCAGCAGTCGGGGCAGGCAAACATAACTGCGGTCCACCAGGGGGAGTGGAGGTAAAAGGGAGAATAACCCCCCTCCCTGTCCACTCTGCCACAGGGGTTACACAGGTCCACCACTGCAGCAGAGAGTGGGGAGGACCCAGCAGACTTGGCTCAGGTCCCTACCAGTAGGACAGGGAGGGGGGAATTAAACCCCTCTCCAGCCAAACCCCTGCCCATGCCTGT